ATGTTGGGCATCTCCGGTTGTTGTGAAGCGTGGCAGCAGTGTCTCGGTGGCATATCTGACATGAGGAGCGGCTGGCCATGGAGGAAGAGGAGAAGGCTTATCGCGCAGAGGCGTGTCATGGGAGTCACGGGAAGTTCAAACAAGTGCGACGTTGCCAAGAATCTTAAAACCCAAAAACCCTAAACCTTATAGTAGCTTCCATTTTTCCATTATCCCCATGTAACCGTAATATATATATATATATACATATGTATACACCCTATTATACGACAATAGTTTCCATTTCATTTTCCATTATCCCAATATAACCCCAATCTATACCCTGCCTGTTCTATTACATTGTAGTAGTTTCCATTTGCTTTTCCATTATTACTACATAAACCCAATATGTACCCTACAATATTATAGTAGTCCCAAGAAGTCCCAATCTATCTCATTATAGTAGTTTCCATGTTCTTTTCCATTATCCCTATATAAGCCCTATATAACTCCTATATTGCTATATAACCCCTATATTGTCCCAATATTGCCAACAAGTCGCAGTCTATCGCAGCAGATTGACCTTGAACAGAGGAAGCGCGGGTGGTAAGGGTTTAGAGATTTAGGGGTTAGGGGTGTAGGGAGTGGTTTAGGGTTTAGGGTTGTGCCATAGCATGGATCCAAGAGAACATAGGCAGCAGGACGGGTGTCAGAGCTGCACTTTCCCAGAACATGGAACGTGTGAAGTATGATAAGTATGTTACAACTTTGCAGGCCGCTTCGTACCGTGACCGTATCAATGAGGCGGAGGCAGAGGCTACTCAGCTGCAAGCTAGAAGTGCAGTGATTATCGTTGCAAAAGTATCTTACCGTTGCTCAGTACGGAATAGAAAGGAATGGGTTACGGGAACTTTCCCGAAGTCCTTATTAAGCACCGGGAAGTTCTGGTGGATGATTTTCATCCTAAGCCAGAAACAGCAGTGTACAACTGGTCAGGAATGCTTCTTGGGGGTCGCTCAGCTAAAGCTATGTACATCCTTACTCACCAAGAAAGACCTCGGTCTGAATCATGTCCAGTCCCCTTATTCAGAGCTGCATGCGTCGCCGTGCGACAACCTGGGATTGTAACAGCTGCTGTCCTGAAGCAGTGACAAGTGACCAGCCCGACTGTGCAGCTTAATCGCCAATGTCTGTCAGTCTGTGCCACTATGCCGCCGGCAGTTGCGCAGGTTTGTAACCTCACGCTCTGAGATTGCACTGCAACTGTTCTACATGTATCTGTTCGGTGGATCATCCCTGAAGTCCCTAAAGGTGTGATCCTTCCTAGACTTGCAAGGCTTCGCTGGCGGCCGCCAAAGGGCGCAGGTCGTCGGCTGCGGCATTTGCTACCGCTTCTGCTGCAGCTCAGGGGTGCTCGAGCCGCACGGGGGTAGTCAGACACTTTAGGGTCAAGGGTCAGTACCTTACGTGAATTGCTTTCAGCAACTACAGGGATGGGATCCAAAGTCCGGGGAGGTCGATTTGCAAACTTCGCCGGACTTCTGGAAATCTGATCACATGGGCGTGCAACAGCCGATCTAAGTACAAAGTCGTCGTACACATCCTGAGACCACGTGAAGTATGAATTTCCCAGCAGTGGCATTCTATGTGGAAGTGCCTCCCAGAGACTCTCTTTACCATCAGGTTTGCCCAAATTTTGAGAATTGCCCACGTGACATATTTGATGCCCTGTTTGCAGACAGCGCCCGGCGGAATCCAAGATGTCGCAACCTCGCACGGAGGACTCGCCAAGCCCCTTTAAATCATGCACGTATGACCTGCATCTGAAGTTCGGGGTTTCAGGTTTCCCATAATACACAGAGGACCCTTAGAGACCCTAGGGGTGGGCTTTCCTATAAAGTATTCAACGGCGGCAAGTCATGATAAAATCCCTGTTTAGGGCAGGCGAAAAACTTGAGCCATCATCATTGTTCCTGTGCAATAGTGACATTATTTGGATGGCCTAGTATTCTGATTAGTATAGTACCTTTAGAGTATAAAAAGGAAATTGTAGACATTAGATATGTTTCCACAACACGCCTAGGAAGATCTTTCAAGCGGTTCTTGGATCCTGGCCATGGGCGTGCGCCATGTTGGGTGACGCATGCCTAAACCCTAAACCCCATATGAGC